TGGCGGCTTGGCTGCATCACGGGTGGGTCACTCTGCTCTTGAGGTGGAGGCTGAAGCAGCAGTCATGGGGCTGGAGTTTGCGGCCAATCTTGGCTATAGTGATGTCTACATGGAAACTGACTCAAAGACCCTTGTGGACGGGATCAAGGGGATATAAGGAACTGTGCCTGGACTATCAGGCCTTCTATTGAGGTTATCTGGCGCAGAGCTGATCAATTCAGAAGAGTTTTTTGGCGTTGGGTTCAGAGGAGTTCAAATCGAGCAGCTCACGAGGCTGCAACGATTGGTTGCCGAGTAGTGGAGCTGGAAAGCTGGGTTACTCAACCACCGCTGCCTCCCATACATGTTTTGGTGTCTGATGGACTTCCTGGTCCTCCTTAATTTTTGTTTTTAGAGTAGGAGTTTTCCTTATTTTGCTGGATTGTAGCGATTCAGATGAAGGTGCTTCTGTAGTTTGTCTCAATTACTGCTTTCTATGTATTTCCTTGCGGTTGCCTTTTGGCTTGGAATCTAATTCATGGTTGAACAAAAAAAAAAGCATTGAAAAGTAGCAAGCCATTCGAAGATTATAAAAATATATCGAGGGAAAATCATGGAATATATATATATTAATTATTGATCAATACATGATTCCCTTTGCCTTCGTGAACGTAGTAAACAAAGCCATTGCACCAAAGTTTACCCCATGATGCATCTGGAAGAAAATAAGTCCAAAAAACCAAAGAAAAAGTAAAACCAATACATCTATAAATTAGCTATATAAAGCTCGACATGATGTTAAATTCAATGATTTTTTTTTTTCCGCTAATTTCCCTCCTCTACCGGTAAAATTTCCAAACATTTCATCCACTTATTGAGGGCACCCATAAAAAAAACCCACAACCATTTTATTTATTCTTGTTGTGTATCCGACGGGTGCGATATGTTTTTGAAAAAGGGTGTGAGCAATAATTTGGGTGGGGAAGTAGGTGGGTGACACAAAAGTTGGATGATTGCATGACCCCAAATAATTAAATTATGAAAGAAAGAGTAAGAAGTGTGATAGCTTGGGATTCCCTCGCATACTGGCGTTAGTTGAGGACAAACATAAAGCTTATGTTTATTTATCCTAGATTTGTTCTAGAACAACAACCGTAGATATGTTTTCAATTTGAGACATGAGAATTTCAATAGTTTCATTCTCATTTATCTATGTTGTTATAATTTGAAACTGTTTATATATCTTCTAAGAAAATTTCTGTAAATAGGAAAATCGTTTAGTCGTCTAACTCATTATAAAAAAAGAGTGACGATTTCTCCACTTTAATTTTATCCACTTACACTCCATTTTATAACTAAAAAGGGAGTGTAAGTGGATAAAATGGTGATTTCCCCACTCCAATTTTATCCACCTATACTCAATTTTATAACTAAAAAAGGAGTGTAAGTGGATAAAAAGGGAGTGGGGAAATCATTACCCTAAAAAGAAATAGACAAAGCCAATGTTTTGATTAGTCAGCAGAACATAACATGTGCAATGCAAGCAAAGACACGATCAGCCAAGCATTCGTTCTCTGCATCGAGTTCCATCCTCTAGCTTCTATCAGAATATGTACTATTACTATACAGTACTGAAACTGACGTTAATTATAATGGAGGCCACACATATGGATTTAGTACCAACTAGCAAAGGTGCCCGCGCGATACTGCGGGTTTTAAAACCGTTTGAAATGTGTACAAAGTTTTGAAAATATGTAGCAAGTTTAAATTACAAAATAAAGACTAATAACATGTTTTATATGTTGCTTGTCATCTTAAAATATTGATCATATTTTATTAAACCAAGCAGCAATCAAAATATCAACAGTTGA